CTTCATTGTGGATGCTTTCGTTGATGGTCAGAGCCTCGACAGTTTAGTTAGAGGTATGAAATTACAACTATCACGCAAACGTTGTAAGTGGTCTTTCGAATCCACCTTACACATATGGTTGTTTTGCCTGCTCTCGAGGAGGTTATGGCTATGAAGACGATAATATTATAATGAATTTTACAACGATAACTTTACCTATGACGGAGAATGAGTTTTTTTTTTATAGTGTTTGTGCAATAGCAGGGAATGAAAGACTAAGGTTATGCTATCTTTGTGGTCAACATCATTATTTTTCGTGTAATACGAGAAAAACAAAATAGTGTGTTTTTCAATATTAAACCTATGTCGAACGAAGCGCTGAAAGTTAAGGTGAATCATAACATTGCAGTTGTCATTTAGTGCAATTGAGACAAAAAAAAACTTCAAGGAAAAAAATAAGTTTGTAACCTGCAATGATTCTATAAGACTTGGGTTGGGAACGAATGATTGACGAAGATGAAAGAGATAGAGTTGATATAGTACCGGTTGTTAAGTACGATGTAAGAAAGATGCTCGTTCTTTTTCCCACTTGAGGAAGACAATAGTTGGTTGGCAAGTGCGGCGAAAATAAGTGTTAAGATTATACAAAACCATAATCGTCTCCAGAACACCAAACTGTTTTTCATTAGGTATATTTTTTAAAGGTCTTTCCTCATAATTTTCCGTAGAGGTACTCGTACGTGGCGGTTGTACAATACTATAACTTTTAAGTAGTAAGCTAGATGATATGTATTTTTTGAGGAAATAATGAAATCTTAATTGCTATAAAGTATAAAACAACTAAAGACTTGCGACTTCTGTAATGAAAGACTTGCATGTTTTTTAGGTTGTAAGCTAAGATGAGTAATGTTTCTAGTATGTTTCGAACTTGGACTAATGTTGAGGACCTCAACCTCTAAACGTATATCACCTTCGGTACCTTCTAAAAAAACTGGTTGTAGTTAAATTACAAAATTGTTATATCAATGTCGTGCTCTCCCTCAACTAACAAAAATGAATAAAATAATACACGGTAGGTACTGCCCAACTGTGAAGTACATCCACAAATGTTATAATCATATATAAATGAGCTTTGGATGGTACAACCACTCGATTATCTACTTCTAATAAACATAATTGACATAAACATGTTCTGAACAATGTCGTAGTTCAAACCACATCCTTTATAAAGACGTCGACATCGACGCACAATTTTAAATTTTGAGGGGGGGAAAAAAACACTACGATTTTTTATTTAAATCACGTCGGTGTTAAAAAATAAAAAAATGACTTGGTCAGGGTTGCCGGCGTTCGGGACGGGCCGAACGCCCGAACGTACGGGACCCTTTCATAAGGTGTTCGACCATTCACACCGAACGTGGAAAAAATAAATAAATAAATAAATAAAATAAAAAAAATTAAAAAACGAATATGTTATGGAGAAAAATAAACTAAAGAACATTTGTCCGGGTATACATCCAAATTCTTCACCAAATTTGAATAAAAAATCAAATACAGAAATAAACACTATGATAAAAATAAGAAAAAATAAAAAGAGAATTAAAATGAGTGAGTGTGCCAGCACCTTTTCGACACCGCCATCTTTGCCGATTTTTAATTATTTTTTGGCATTGCCAAATGCTCTGAAAATTTACAAATATGTAGTTTACATAATCAATAACTCATTAAAACATTTTCAAAAAATAATAAAAGTTTTTAGATCCCGAAATAAAGTAAAAACAAAATGTTAAAAGTGAAAAGAAAAACAAAATAGTGAGTGGGCGAGCACGTTTTGACACCCCCATCTTTGACGGTTTTCAATGTTTTTTTGGCTTAGCAGAATGGTTTTTAAATTTATAGGCGTGTAACTTACATCATAGAGAACTAAAAAAAAACAATTCAGAAAAAAAAACTTATTTTAGGCCCCGAAACAGGTTTTGGTGGGGGTCGAACCTGGAGGTGTTTGGCCCCCGAACGGGACCCCGAACGCCCGAACGTTCGGGGGCCAACTCGGGGGTCCCTGAACATTCGGTCAGGTAACCCTGGACGTGGTATTATTTTCGTTTTTTTTTTTTCGGCTGATAGTGCTAACCATTTGAATTTTGTAGTCCGAAACCGAAAACGTTACGAATAATATTTGTACGACTATTCGTTTTACATGGGGTGCGAGTTGCATTTTAATATGCTGGAATCCTAACTATGGATTTACAAATGTACAGACCTCTCGGAAATGAAACTCTCCTCCTTAGGTAGTCTCAGGTGCTATCAATTTATTAATTGGTTGAACTAAAGTAACTCGTGTGCAGGCTGGTTCTGACCTTTACATAAAATTTGCCTGTTTTGTTTGGCGTGAAGGGCAACTATGATTCAGCGACCTATATGTAGAAAAGAGAGCACGACACACATAAAGGTAAATTATGATACAAACAATGACAACAAATGACACGCATTAAGATTTTCGAATAAACTATCACTCTCCGATTCTATATATTTTTGTTTCTTCCAATAAACCTTTATCAATTGGTAAATCCACGAACTGTTGAGATTAAAAACTAAGTTTGAATCTAGATAGAATCAGTTGACAAAAACCAAATTTTTAATTACGGGGGTGGATCAATTCAATGAGGAGGGAAAGTGAATTATATAAGGTATGGAGCAACTTCCCAAATTACCTTAGTTTCAAGATTATATATTGCGGCTATCGATGTTTTTTTTTTTAATTTTTCAATAAAAAAGGAAGAAAATAATGAGGAAGTGACACGGTAGGACGAATGAGGGTTCGTCCAAACTAACACTTAAACGAAACCAGGGGGTTCTATGACAGAGTTTTTTCACACCTGTTGGAGTATCAGTTAACGACTTAAAGGCGATGACTGTTTTATTGGAGGTGGAGAAAAAAACTCACATAGTCACAATTCTTTTTCTTAATATAACTCACCATTAGTTGGCCCAACAATCGATTTTGAGCCTGTAGCTATCGGTAGGCTGACCGTTGTCGTGGCTAGCATTACTGGTAGTATCATAGTTTTTTTTTTTTTAATTATAAAAATATAAAAAAGGAAAAAAATGAATAAAAAAATAAACAATATTCTACAAACAAAAAAAAAGAAACATGAAAACATTACATGCGAGGACATTTACATGAAAACTGGTAGTATCAACAGTCTGCAGAATCCCCTCACTAATTATACTTTAAATGATAATCTACCTTAACCAAAATCAAAGTATATATATATATATATATATATATATATATATATATATATATANGCTGCTAATTGGCGCAACAAACGCGTCGTCCATCCCTCTCTCTCTCTCTCTCTCCTTCCCCCACCGCGCAGCGATGACTGCTCTCTCTCTCTCTCTCTCTCCCCCCGGACGTTTCGTACAGTGCTGAAACGGGAATGAATCTATCCGCGTTTGCGAAAAGATTCATTCTCATCCTGCACGTCTCTCTCTTTCTCTCTCACATATACACACTCACAACATGTTCCTTTTTATGTTTTTTTGTTGCTCGGAGTGTTTATTTTATTTTTTTAATGGTCTTTGTTTTCATTTTTTATTCTTATGAATGCTTGAATTTGCCCGCCCTTTTTGCAGCTACTCCGCTTTGTGCTTGGCCGACCCCCGATAGCTGTTGCGACCTATATATGGCCCAAGTACTGGTGGTACACTTGATTATAGCCAAAGGCCGGGAAAGGTATTCGCAGTTCCATCAAGCTGCGAGGACATTTGGCAACACAGTGGAGTTCCATAGATGAGACTCCCCTAGGGAGAGAAAGGTGGGTGGGGTAGGGTGGCTTCGCTACATCGAAACGGAGCAGAATCGTCTCAAATCGGTCCATTCGCCCCCCTTCCCCTCTCCTGCCCCAAAAAAGAGAAAATCAGAAGCCAGAAATACTCACTCAATATGGGGCGTATTTTGCCGTTGGATCCTGAGGAGCTTTTGGAACGCCGCGCTTCTGCGCCTCCGCGCCTTCGACATGACGTGTCTGCGCTCGTCCCTGAACAGAACGCACTGTGTCATGTCATTGTCTCGGTAACTAGACAGTATTTGTCCCAAATACATTCTGCTGTAATGACCACGTGTTCTATTCGGGGGAAGAGGAGGCAGTACGTACGGGCATAAGTCTGTTCCGTTGAGGCGGTCTTTCGTCGGTTAGCCCCGTAGCCGGTGGTCGCACGCTTCTTCTCTAGGTAATAGAGCATGACTCCCAGCCTTCGCACGCTTCTTCTCTACTGGTAGTAGAGCGGAGTCCCGATCTTCAAAGAAAGAAGACCTTGCAGCCGTAGGATTAATTGTATTTAATTGAATTGAATCTGCGGTGAAAACACACCACTTCCGGGGGCTCGGTCCCACCTGCGCCTTTCCGTTGTAGGAGGCTACCACGAAACGACTGGCGGGCGTCTAGGGACCGTCGATTGTGTCAATCCATGGTCCTTAGGCGCCCGCCATTCTCCTCGTGGTAGCCTCCTACAACGAAAATGCGCAGGTGGCACCGAGCGCCGGATTGCCATGTCAAGTCGGCGGGACGGAGGTCAGTTCGACTGGTGGGTCCTTGTGTGTGGGTCTTTCATGCGGCCGTTGAGGCCACATTACAGCCACAGCGACCGCGCATCCTCTGGTCGTAGGGGTCTTCCCCGCCGCAAAATTTGCCGCTGGTCGACCCAACGGCGGGTTCGGGCTGGCGCTGTTTGTTGCGTTGGGGGGCGCTGGGCCAGACCCCACTAGCCCCTATTGTTCATTTCGGACCGTTGATCTTCATAATCGAGGGTGAAAATGAATAATCCAGGGTAGTGGGATCAGACCCTCTGTCACCTTCCGTCTGGCGGCTTGCGTGGTTGCCGTGGCGGCTCGTCGTTCGAGCAAGTAAAGGACGGTACTGAAGGTACCAGCAGAAGAGTAATATCAGGGAAGCGACTCAGGACAGGGGACGTTGTTGCAGTCGCGCGCAGGCGGGGTTACAGCGTAGAAGGCGAGGCGAAGGGAGGGGGGAAGGGCAGGTTCTACTACCTAGCACACAGGAGAGGAGAGAGTTTGTAGAGCGATTTGGACTCTTTGGACTTTTCCCAGTCTACCAACCGTCTTCCTGCTTGATCCGCGTCCACTCTGAACAAAGCGAGCAGATAGGTCATCCGAGCGCGAGCGCGTGGGTCTGGGCGGTTGTGTTGTTGTGGTTATGCTTCCCCCGAGGCTGTCCATAAGCAAGCCTGCGTCAGTAACAATTGTTCTGTCTCATGTTCATCCTCGGAACCTGAGCGAACCGACCCGCAGCGCGCGTACGAGCTTCGGGTGGCTGTAGCAAGAGGCAGGGCGCTATTCTGTGCTTGCGTATGTGTGGGCGGCTTGAGTAGTGTGTGTGTGTGTGTGTGTGTGTGTGTGTGTGTGAGAGAGAGAGAGAGAGAGAGAGAGAGAGAGAGAGAGAGAGGCGGGGGAAAGTGTGGGAGAGGAGAAGCGAGTATACGGTAGCGAGAGTCGGAAAAGGAGGACAGGTTCTACGTGCAGAGCAGTGAAGGAAACGGTGTGTCTTAGCGATGGCCGTTAAGAAAAAGGAAAAGATGGAGCCGGAAGAGGAAGTACCTGATAGCATGCAGGGGGACGAGACGGAGAATGAAGATAAGGTAGACAGAGGAGCGTCTCCAGATGGAGGACAAGCAGGCTCGAAGTCAAGTTCAGGGTTAGTTTACCGTGCAGCCATCTTGAGAACTAGAAAAGGCAGAAGTTGTATGTCGGTCTTTGCTGATTGTTCAGATTTTGGCTAAGGTAGCCACCAGTGTGATTAGTGTATCTGCTAGTATATATGTGCTGTGCTAGTGCTTTCGATAGCTGTTGCTTTTTGTAGCCGATGTGGTCTCTCTTTGTCCTGTTCGGCTTTGGCTCGTTCCTAAGTGGTTCGTTCTCGTCTAGATCGTTTGCTATAGAATGTATTGTGCTAGTCTTTGATAGCTGTTGTTTGTCTAGCCGATGAAAGGTGTTGTCGTTTTCGATCAATTGGTTTTTACTTATCTCGGGTCCGAGGATTTGCTAGGAAAAGAAGAGATGATCTCGGTCGTTGTTGGCTAATTGGTATATATATGTCGGTCGTTTTCGGTTAATTGGTTTATATGTCGGTCGTTTTCGGTTAATTGGTTTATATCTCGGTCGTTTTCGGTTAATTGGTTCACATATGTCTCGGTCGGTCGTTTTCGGTCAATTGGTATACATTGTATATATCGGTCCGTCGTTTTCCTTTCGTTGGTTATTCCGGTCGTTGATGCAGTCTATTGGCTTTGATTGTAGATAATGATTCTTAGGGTGCGTATCTAACACTTAGTCCTTATTCGACCTTATTATCCTGATAGAGGCAAGATCTTCATCGGCGGACTATGCTGGGAGACGACGACAGGTGCGTTTCTGATAACCCCTCCCTTCCTTTCTCCATCTATCCATCAAAACTCTCATCACTCCCTTTTTCACCCCTATTTGTATTTGTTTGCCTCCCCTTCGTCTGGTTCCCCATGTTTCTGCCCCCCCTAAACACTTTCATTTTTTTCCCCCCTTTGTATGACTGTTGCTCTCCATTCCCCGTCCCTCTCCGTTTCATATCTCTATTGTTTCTCTTTCGTTGTGTTCCAATCGCTCTTCCCATCATTCGCCCTCCTCCTCCCTTCCTCTCGCCGCCTCTCTTCCTTTCCGTCTTCATTGTCTTCCTGCCTCCCTGACGACCCCTTCCTCCCCTCACTTGCTCTCTTATACACCGTGGCGTCGGTACCTCTGTTTTCTACCTCACTAGTTCTCCCTCCCTCTCTAGTTCTTCCTCCCTCTAGTTCTCCCTACCTCTCTAGTTCTCCCTCCTAGTTCTCTCCCTCTGGTTCTTACTCTTCATGCCCTCTTTAGTTCTCCCTCCCTCTCTAGTTCTCTGCCTCTGCTTCTTACTCTTCATGGGTCTCACTCTGTTGCTTCAGGTTCCGGTGTTTCACTCACCGCCCGTCTAGCACGTTCCCTCCCTGGGTCTCTTTCCTGGCCTCTCCTCACCTGAAAAAAAGTCTTATTCCTGATCTTAGTTTGAGAATCTTCTCGTCTTCGGTATTATATATATCTCTTATGTATTTTTTGTTCTTGGAACTAGGTTTTAATTACTACCCCTCGTTATTGTATTCCTCTCGTGTTGTTGTAGTGCATATGTTGTAGTGTTCCATGTGCTATATCGAAGTCTCCCTGTTTATCATTATTAGCCCTTGCTGCCTGTCGTATGTGGTCCGTCTCTCCGTTTTCATGTTTCCACTCCTCCCGGCTCTTTGTCTCTTTCATAACTTCGCATTTTGCGTTATGTCCTTTCTTTTACCTGCACGTTGGTATCTTGATGAGTGTGGTTCTATCTTGTTCTCTCTCTGCGTTTCGCTTGTCTTTCTAGTCCTTTTGTTTGTTCTCTATCTTTCTCCATCCTGCAGCCGCACATACCGTGCGTCAATTCTGCCACGCAGCGCCCCTCGTTTCTCTTGGTGCCGTCACACTGCTGATGCTGCCCGCGCCTTCACCCCTGACATGACCAACCGAACTTGCGTGCCGATGATGTCATCCATTCTGCTGCAGCCTCGCACAAGTCCTTCCCCACCTCTCGTCTTGGTGCACGTGTTTCACGTCGTCCTATACCCTTGTTATACCGCTGTACCAGGTAACGTCAGGTTTTTGCGACTTCTATGACATTTCTACCTTTTCGCCCTCGCGTCCTATCGCTATTGTCTTGCCTTATCTTACGCAACTGCTTGTCCGTCCCTCTTCGCCGTCTTTCGTCCATGTGCACCACGTGTTTCACATCGTATTACATCCGAATCACGTCCAGGTGCACGTGTTTCATATCATATTAAATCTGTATCACATCGTATTACGCAACAGCTGGTCCGTCCTTCTTCCCCGCCTCTCTTCAGGGTGCACGTGTTTCACATCTTAATAAAAACCGAATTACGTCCTACTGTACCAGGTTACGTCATGTTTTTGCACCTGATGTTATGGCACTCTTCTCATTTTCGGGCTCGCGTCCTATCTCTGCTTTCTGACGTCTCGATGCACATGCGTCGATGCCTGCTGTATCTTCTTCGTAACGCCTTATGTCCCGCTGTACAGCTCCACAGACCCGACTCATCTCCCTCGTCAACGGCCTCTCACGAAGTAATGGCCGTTTGCACCGCTGCATACGCCTTTCCTCCCGCTGTGGCGACTTCTCTGTAGCCATGCTTTGGTATCTCCGTTTAATGTTCCACTTCTTCTTCCAAATGTCTTTCGCTCCTCGAGTATCTGTCCTCTCAGCTTCGTCTTCTACGCCTGAGATCCACTCTTTGCATTTCCATGCCGGGGTTCGTCTTCTTGCAATGATTTATATGTTTTCTCATGGCTTCTTCCGTATCTTTCTGCCTGCACTTCGTGTCTCTTGGCGTTTTACTCATCTTCCTTCTCATGGCTTCTGCCGTATTTTTCTGCCTGCTCTTGCGTGTCTCTTGGCGTTTTACGAATCTTCCTGCCTGCTTCACACGTTTTCTTATGTTGTGTTTCTTTTTATTTTGCTGTTTTTTGGTTCTCATCTGGATCAGGCATCCGTTTCTCCGTCGCCGCCGGTCTACCGTCAGCCCACTTGGTCGCTGTTTACCTGAGCTTAGTCTCTGCGTTGCTGGCTGTCGCTCCGTCTGCTCGGGCGCGTCTTCCTCTGTGTCTCCGCTGTTGTTTTCGCCTTTTTTCTCCGCAGTTGTTAGAACGCAATTTCATTTTACCTTTCATTTTACCCATTCGGCAGTTATATATGACAGCCATCGCTTTTCAATTACCGATTATCTTTCCGCGTTTACGGTCGTTTTCCCCCAGTCGCGCTACTGTATGCCGCAGTCGTTATCTCGTTTCCGCGGTCGCTGTAACGTTTCTGAACTTGCCAGCTTGTTGCCGAATCCTTTTCCGTAGTCACCATCGTTTTTGCGTGTTAACCAAAGTCTGCCTGTCTTTGTTTTCCATCGCCTATAGCTGCGTTCGACCATAGTCTTTCTGCGTAAACCATGCCGCACGTTCTCTGCGGTTGCTATCGCTTTTTTGAATTCACCTTCGCTTTTTGCGTAGTTGTTCTCACAGGATATTCGCACTCCCTCGTCTTTACGCGTTAACCATTGTAGTTCTGTGGTAACCACTGCCTTCCTGCAGTCCCTCACCATCGTCTTTCTGAGTCACGGCTGGCGGTCAGGAACCAATAGCAAAAGGGCATATCTATTCTTCACTTGAGTTCTTGGTGTTGCTGTTCCCACCCCTTAGGTGAAGAATAAGGCTTTTGCTTTTCGTGCTCCTTAGGACAAGGCCCTATTTTGTCAGTTTCTTGTCGCAGGTTCCTTCCATTCCTCACTATCGCCTTTCTGCAGTCCTCACCATCGACATTCCGCGGTAGCCGTTGTCTTTCTGCGTTACCGTCGTCTTCGGTAACCGTCGTCCTTATGCGTTATCAATAGTCTCGTGCAGTCATCGTCGCCGTTCCCGATTCGTCTGCAATTTCTCTTGCCTCGTCTACTGTTAGGCTTTGTTTCTATACTCTACAAACATATATGAAAAATGTGCATGCTCTAATTGGGTTTTTGGGATGAAATGATAGCGACTGTTATTTGTTCTTTGAAAGTTGTGATACCGACTTGTATGAATGTTTTTGTAGTCAAGGGTTGCCTCTTTTAGGCCGTTCGCATGCAACGAAGTTCAAATGTTAATGAATTGCGCAGTGTCAATGAAATGCGTGTGTGAAGTTTGCTAGGCGGCAATCTGTAGAGCCCTTTGGCGATGACGCTCTGAGATTTGTGATTTACGTAAGGCTGATGTCTGAGTCTGTCGCTTTCTAGGGAAGTGTGTGATGTCTCGCTCGTGTCATGTCAGTGATGAAGTTCAGGAGTCCACGAATGACAGTAATGACGTGAATGACAGTTAGTTTCAAGTCGGCGGTAGTACTCGTAATGCCCTTGCGTCTAGGTGGCCGCTACACTTCCCTGTCGTACAGGTTTTGTATCAAGTCGTTCCGGGACCGAATTGGTGTTCTTCGTCGTTGGCGAACGAAATTACTCTCATGGCCGTAGTTCTCTATGCTTGGCTGTTTGACATTATGTTTATTTATTTGACTTCGTACATCTTATTACTAGATGAAGTCAGTAAGCGTCACGAAGTGCCAGTGCTCATCGACCAGTATTTACTAGTAATATTTATTTTGCCTAGACGGTTGCCAATATTACGAGTTTGAGGAGCAGTGGTACAGTCCGTCTGTCGGAAGCTGTCAGATGTCTATTAGTTTTGCTGTTATATGCTCTTTTCTTGAACAATATTGAGATCTGTGTTACAATTTTTTACAATATTGAGATCTGTGTTGCGTAGACTATATCACGGTTGCCTCTAAAGAAGTCTGCGGTTACGTAGACGATATCACGGTTGCCTTTAAAGAATTCTGCGGTTACGTAGACGATATCACGGTTGCCTTTAAAGAATTCTGCGGTTACGTAGACAATATCACGGTTGCCCTTAAAGAAGTCTGCTGTGACGTAGACGATGTCACGGTTGCCATTTAAAGAAGTCTGCGGATCGGACGACGGGAGGTCTGTGCTCCCAAGCTCGTGCGAATGGGAAACCAAACTGGTTGCCTTTCAGGCATATGTTTGACAAGATAGTTCTTGTTAAGGTGATGAAATTATGTGTGAAGGTTGTTGGACTGTAGAGGATGGTGATTAGTTCCGTTCGTTAGAGAAGAGATCTCTTGTTTAGGTTAAATTGTGCGCGAAGGTTGTTGGA